ATAACCAAAAGACTTGTCATAAAGAATTTAAGGAAGAAGAGTTATAGTCTTAGTCCCTGACAGTGAACACAAAATTTATATAAGATGGACTGGACCTGCTACGATCATCAAAAAGCATATTTATTACAATTACATTGTGCAAACACTGATAACACCTTGAAACACATTCATGCAAATAAGATATGAGAATTCAAGACTGCTGCAAATAATGTCAGCGTGATATATGATGCAGGTATTGATTTTGGAGACATTGAAAACATTCCATGAATTATTCCACTGAAAGCAGAGCATTATTCTGATGAAGAATTTCATCTTATGCACCTTCAACCATGCAAAAGAAAAGATTTCATAGAAGTTTTAAGAAAGTGTACCAGTCTAAGATCTGATATTCTGAAAATCACTAATATTGCAAAATATAAACTCAAGCCTGAAAATGTACCAAAGAATCAGAAGCCAATATCCAGATCAGATAACTGAAGTTCTAAATAAATCAAGTTGATCAGCAAACAGATGAGCTATTACAGCTGGGACTAGTTGTTGAATCAGAAAGTGAATATGCACATCCAATATTGTGTGTCATAGAAAGATGTAACTGTAAGATTATGTGTGGACTGCTGTTACCTGAACTCATGAAATAAAATTAATTGTTTTCAATGAAACATTTCATAGATTTAATTTACAAAGTTCAATTACATCACTTTGATTGATCTTCTTAAAGGATACTGACAAACATGACTAAAACATGAGTGCTAAGATTTGACTTAATTTGTGACTCACTAAGGATAATATGCTTTTTTAATTTTATCCTTTAAATTAAGAAATACCAGCACAATTTTCTAGAGGACTATGAACAAACTTCTTGCCAAACATAAAGACTGTGTTGTACCTTATATTGATGATGTAATTATATTTTCCAATGACTAGAATATGCATATGAAACATCTTGATAAAGTTTTAAGCAAGTTTCAAGAAAAAAAGGTGACTTCATAAAGAATAAAATCAAATTCCTAGACATATAGTTGGTTCACAAAAGCCATTATGGTTTATATGAGTGTAATCCAGAAAAGTTTAAAGACATTAAGAATTCAGAAATTTCTCACACTAAGAAAAATGTAAGTAGCATTTTAGGACTATTATCTACAAATCTTACATACCCAAATTTCAGATTCAGATCTTATATACCCAAATTACAGAACTTATATATGCAAATTTTCTGCAACAGCACAACCTTTAACAATGTTGGCAAAAAAGAAGACCTTCAAATGAGATCACCGACTGAAAGAGAAAGATGCATTTGCCCAACTGAAACATGCTACTTGAGATGCTCCAAAATGCTACTCTCCAAGTTTTAACTTGCCTTTCATCATTTACATGGATGCATCAGTATATGCCATACGAGTTGGTTTGGCTCAGACAGATAAAAACAGTGAAGACTACTTAACAGCTTTTGCTAGCAAAAAACTGACTGAGATGGAAAAAAAATATTCTGTTATTGAAAAAGAAGCTTCTGCTGTTATCCTTGTCCTAAATTTAAAACTTACATATTTGGTTCTGAAATCAAAACCAAATATCTCTTGCTAGTGACCACAACCCTTTACATTTCTCACTGAGTGTTCCTCACAGAATTCCCATTTACAACACTGGTCTTTAGCATTCTAACAGTTTCATGCAGTGATTACATATCGAAAAGGAAAAGATCATATTTAATGCAGATTTACTATCCCGATTAACTGCTTCTCACTGGAAATATGATTGAAAGTCACTAATTTTGAAATGAGCATTTTGACTATTTCATTTGATTATTTTTAAAAGCTAAAATGCTAGACATTGAAACTTTTCTAATGTTATGTAATATAATTTATATTCAGCCATGGTTTGGTAAAATATGATAAATTTACAGTTAATGATTGATTTCCATTATTTTGTTTACGTGATTAAAATAATTTTAAAGATTTAGGTTTAATGAAAAGTTGTCCCACAAGACAGAGTTTGAACTGACATTAGAAAAGGGATACTTCCAAAAATAAAAAAAAAAAAAAAATACATATTCAATGATTTAAATTTACATTATTTTTTAATGTGGTTTATAAATTAAACAAAAAAAGTAAAGAAAATGCTGATAAAAATACCAAAATTAGAAGAAAAGAATTTTTTTATCTTCACAGAATAAAACTAAATATTTAACAGGTACAGTGGGTACTGCTAAATATGATCATGTTCCTTCTAACCCTATTTGACTGAATTAAGTGGTTGAGTTTTATATGTGGTGGTGGACTGCATGCAGGATTTAATTTTTGTTAGGAATAAAAGGTTGTATATTTTCAGAGGGGGGGGGGAAGATACAAAAATAAAATTTTTAAAAATGACTTATTTATATAAGATTTCAATAATGCAGATACCTGAACCTCTTTTGCGTAGCACATAGCTATGCTGTTGTGATTAATACTTTTTCACACAGCTATGCTGTTGTGATTAATACTTTTTCACACAGCTATGCTGTTGAGATTAGCATTTTTTTTACATGCTGTTTAATATGAAGTTACATACACTTTTAATTTAAATAAAGCTTTCATTACTTTTTCCCCCTGTGAATAAAAAGCCACCTAAATTCAGAAAAAATGTAATTATTCCAACATGTTACACAGAACAATACAATATGAAAGCATATCAAACATTATTTAAAAAATTATCCATATGAGTTTGTAGCATATTTCCTGTTAGTAGCTTTTCAATAGTGGTTTCAGAGATAAAACATTGCTTGTAAACTTTCTGTATTTCCACCTTTATGTTCAAGCATTTTTCTCAGAATTTTTATGCTTTTCAAGACTCTGCTGCTGTCTGTTGGTACAAGATCAGGAATTGTCATCTTCAAAATCACTTTCGTGGTCACTAATTCTTTGGCTTTCTCTAATAACTTTGATGATCTCTGCATCACTCTTTTTGCAGCAAGTCTGGATATTTTCTACGATTCCTAAAATTTTCAAGGAACAAGAAATTTTCAAGTTTCAACATGCATTTTTTCATAGTCACCTTTGTCTTATGGCACATCTTGAGAATTATAAATTTTCGTTGGATGGAAGCCCTTTTTTTAAAACATTTTGAAATTGTTTGTGGAGTTACTTCATCCCTTGCATTTAAAATAACATGCATGGCATCTAAGAAATCAGCTTAACAATTTCCTTAGAAGAAAACATTGCATCAGTCATATCAATTTCATTAATAACATTTTGAACGAATTCCTCTGTGTACGACTCTCGAATGTGTTTATAACACCCTGATCTAATAGCTGAAGAATGGAAGCTGTATTAGGAGGAAGAAAAACTAATTTTATGTTTATCAACCAGAAATATAGTTGGATGGGTAGTGCAGTTATCTAACAAGAGTGCCACATTTCTTGCTGAAGTTCTTTACACTGCTTCATAAGAAAATCATTAAAAATACTACTTGTTATCCCAGCATTTTCATTGTTCTAATAAAACACAGGCAAATCCATGGTGCCCTTCAAACAACAAGGATTTTTGCTTGCACCAATGACTAATGGAGTCTTTTTAACTCTTTCATCCATATTACACAGTAATAATACAGTAACACATTGTTTCATTCCTTTACAGTTAGTTGACAATTCACTTTTAAGCATTAAAGTGTGCTGAGGTACGGCTCCGTAATAAAGACTAGTCTCATCAGTGTTAAAAATTTAATGCAGTTTGTATTCTTGCAAAAGTCAAGCTAAATTCTTTTCTATCAAATTATTTGCTTCATTAGAATCCACATCTTCTTTCTCGCCATGTAATTTTTCTGAAAACAATATTGTTTTTATCTTTCCATCTAGTGAGGCATCCAACAGAAGAGACAAACTCCTCTCCTAGCATTTTGGCAAATTCTGTTGTCTCTGATACAGGATTTCTTGCAACATCATGGCATTCTTGTTCCTGGCATTTTGAAACCACTCCAAGAGAGCAGTTCATACATTGGTAGACTTTCCACTTTGCTTCTACTTACGTCAGACATTTGTACTTGCCATTTGTTCATCTGAAATTACCTCATTCTTTTCAACAACGTACGTAATGTAGATTGTGAAATTTTGAGTTATACAGAAGCTTCAAATTGGCTGCATTTTGGTAAAGCATTATATTGCTTCAATTTTTTTTTTTTAATCTTTTAAACTTAAGACTTTGTGTTTGGACATTTTGAAGCATGACAAACAACAGAAGCACAATGTAGATGGATGAACTGAATGAACTGTGTAAGCAAAAAAAGACAATTTTTTTTACAGGTTCTCCCCAACTTTTTTTTTTTTTTTTTAATGTTTCGTCTTTCCCCAAAGACAGTTCTAACAAACCTCTACTGACCCACCCTCAACCCGTGGTTGGTTCAGATAATAAAATTCCAGCATTTGCAGCTCCACCTGTAAAACTGAATCCTCCTTCACACACAGACTTGGAATTTTGACAATCCGAGATAAAAACATTTTAGCATCTACATGCGAAAGTGAATTGATTTTGAACAAAATCACTAAACTTGAAACGTGATCTTGGGGTTTTGATTTTATAATTTTAAAAGCGATTTGATTTTTATAAGCAGTAGCAGTAATTTTATTAAGCGGTTATTTTATAATCATATTGTCTTAATTTGAATTCATCCATTGGGTTTTGATTTTGACAAGCAATTGATTTTATACAGCAGTGATTTTGTTAAAAGGTATGAGCCGTTATTAAAAGGCTGATTGTGTTTCCCCCAGAATTAAATCATGATCTAGATTGACTAAAAATCCAGTCTAATGTTATATATATATGGTTTACATCAAGATTTTATTTGTAAGATACATAAAACAACCTCTGCTATAAAATAAGCAATAAAATACAAACATTAAACCAATTACTTTAGAGAAACAAGTCTCACCCCTTTTGAAATGCTTTTTGAACAAATTACAGCAAATTATCATTTAATACTATCGATTTAATAAAATTAAACAAATATTTAGATACATACATACACAATACCTTATCTGGCATTTAGGAAACAAAAATGTAGTTTTACTGAGGCCACTTTTTGTTCTAGCGATTTCATTCAAATCATGAGAATTTTCATTTTCCAAGACTGCAGCAGATTCTTCACCAATGGTCATAGTTTCATGTAAACCCTTTCGCATCAATAATCGGGCTCTACTCAAGATATCCTAAATTTAAATATGTTAAATTAGCATTGATATTTAATATAAAAAAATCTGAAACTTTAACTCGAGTAATAAGCCATATATTTAAACATGAATCATGATAAGATGATCTCCTTAAATAATTAAGACATAATTTCCTGTTTAGCCTAATCTTAAATAATTTAAAAAATCTGCAGAAATTATAAATTATCCATTATTTATTATAAAGATATGACTAATGATCATTCATAATGTTTAAAAGATAAAATTTTACAACTATGACTCTAGTCTGTAAAATATGTCTGTTACATTATATAAGATTCTTTGAGAAAACACTGGCAACTGCAGTCTTTTAATTGGATTCTACCATCAAATACATCTAAAACCCAGAAACAGACTGAATTACCACAAAAACAATCTTATATTTTTACTCACTGAAGATAAGAACGAAAACAGCATATCAATCTATCTGTCAGAAATTAAAAACTATACAAATGACTGTTACAACTTTAAATAATATGATTATGATATCAAAGTGAAAACACTGTCATTTAAGTGACTGGAGGAGTTACATTCTTCCTTCCGAAAACAGTATAGTATACAGTCAAAAGTCTTTAATCCGGACTCGTCCGGACTTCGGCGATTCCGGATTATCGGTTTTTCCGGATTATACATCATCAGTTCAAATCTGGTAAGGTGGCATGCAGAAATTATAAAATTAAAAATATGAAACCATAATTTATGAAATAAAGAGCAATTATGATCTAAAGGGTATCAAAATTTAAAAAAAAAAAAAAAAAAAAGCTTAATTACATATGGCTAGTGACACTTTGCAAACTGAAATAACAAAATAATAAAAATGTTTACTTTATTAAACATTTCTTTCAACGCGCGCATGCGTAAAGCATACATTACGCATAATCGAAATTAGAAAATTGCAAACAGAAAACTATTTGATGTGTATTTGTGATATTTATAATGACAAGGAATTTGATTTAAATCAAAGACGGAGTACATCGAGATGAAATACTACATTGAGTAAGGAATTATAAGCCAAATAAAATAAAAACATCTGCCCTGAAGATAAGGATAGTGCTGACAGATTAACTTCCAGTTCATTGTGCGCCGCGTCATCACCGCTCCCCACAGAGCAGCGTGAAATTGATAAACATATTTCGGAAAGGTTAGAGAATCAAAGGATATGCCTTTATCCATTTTTTGCAGCAATTCCACTTTTTGTTTGATGGACATCGAAACATGCTTTCGCTTTGTAGATCCTTTGGTAGCTCCAGAATCGGAAATTCTTTTTGACATAATTGAAAGTTCAAGCTTACTTTTATAAAATTGCTCTAATAGTCTGCAAAAAATAATAAGCCAGATGCAATAAGAAGATTAAGGAACAACGCAATCTGCAACATTAACTGAAATAGATAATTTTAGCTTAGCTTATACTGTCCATTATACATTAAACGCGCATGTGTAAACATATTATGCGCATGCGTTGGCGCATGCGCAGAAAGTTTAGCTATTTTTAGGTCCAGATTATGGACATCCGGATTAAAGACTTTTGACTGTATAAGGTTAAATATAAAAGTAATTTTGATCTTATATATATATATATATGTATACAATACAAAGTCCGAGATCTGGACACGTCGAGACTCTAGAATTCAGACTAACTTGTCAATCTAATTTTTTTCACTTTCAGTAACCTCTTTGTGACTTTCTTCACTATCGGTGCGGTGTTTTCCAGATTTAGAACCATACTACAGATTTTGCCATCCGTTAATTGATTGATGATTGAGGAGCATTGTCATCACAATGAAAAACTTCTTTTATATCATCTTCCATTATTACTGCTTCTCCAATTTTCTTTACAAAATCCATTAATTAGAAAATTTCACCATTGGTTTGTGATATCCAAAAACCTTCAGATTCGCAGCTATCATCATTAAATTTAGTTATCGTTCACTATACACATCTGGCTATGTATGAGACTGGAGACTAAAGACAAGTTATTCCGTTAAATTTTATCTTGCTTCTATCGTGCACTGAGACAATCAAACCTAAAATTGTAGTAGTTATTTGTTATACTTACACCTATTCCTTGCACATGCTTAAGGTTTATCTGAGTCCTGAATAAATATATTTCTACTTAAGGGTTTCTGAGGGTCCTAAATTCTTGCTACCAAGTGCCTCCATTTGTCTTCCCTTAATTCTGCCGCTCGGTGCACATATGAGCTTAAATTTATTTTTAACATACGTACAGAAATTATTAAATTTTGCCTGTCAACATTTCTTAGCGCATTAAATCTTTAATCATTGCCGAGCGTAATGTCACCATACTCTTTGTTATTCAATTACTAATATAAAAAAAATGTTTAGGCTTGTTGCTTCATCAGTTGTCATGTGTTGATAAACATGCGGCGATGAAAGCAAAATATAATAAATAATGATTCGCCAGGTTGGCGTAATGATGTATCTATGTAGAATGTTTCATTTTGAGATGTATGCCAAGCAGAGATGCAGCTATGGAGGCAAATTATTGATCATACAAATTTATGCTAAAATGATTGTTTCATCAATAACGAGGTATTTTATTTAGTGCCAAAGTGAAATTATGAATCAGGACTTTCGACATGCGTGGGGAGAATCAAATGCACATGCGTAAAGCACACAAAAAATAAGCAAATTTTTACAAAGTTGGTTAATGACTTCGAGGTCCGGATTTTAGGTCATTCCGGATATTGGACGTTCAAATCTTGGACTTGTATACATATGTGCAACATAAAAAATGCATAAATCAAAATTTTAACTTAAATCTGCATCTTATATTGTTTTAAAAATAGTAACTGCTTATAATAAACATCTCTGGACTGCACCATTTTCAGACAGATCCATATTACATGACTTTTACATATGGCTAGTGACACTTTGCAAACTGAAACTCAATGAGCCAATAACAATTTCTATATTAATATTAACTGGCCAATCAAAATCAAAAGTAACCCACAATGAATTAAGACTTCATCCTGAACATATTGCATTTGTTTTTCGCTTCTTGGTTTACCCAGACTGCTGCTGTACTCTCTTTTCACCATGATATCAAAAATTTTAATGTTCTGAAACAGGCATGCATATTAAGTAACTAAGAAAATTCATGCGGTTTTCGTCATCATCAAAACTGCTCACAAAAATCTAAAACATTCATTTTATTCTTCGAAATAATCACCAATGGCTTTAATTACATTTTCCCAATGAAACACAAGCTTATAAATGCCCTTTTTGAAAAAATCCTTTTTTCTGAAGTCCAAAAATTGTGATACAGGCGTTATGACATCGTCGCACTCGGGAAGCTCTTAGCCTGGTGTTTTGATGACTTCTTTGGTAGCTTTCAGCATATGAGATCTGACATTATCCTGGAGGAGAAGAACTCTTCTGTGCTGGAGGTTTCTGGTGCAGTGCAGTTGAAATTCTTTACAACTGTGACGAATAGACCTCGGCTGCTATGGTTTTTCTGCTTTCTAGATATTCATAGAAGACTATGCCGATGCTGGTTCACCAAACACACAGCATTACCTTCTTTTGGTAAATGCCTGCTTTAGCAGCCACTGAGAACGAACTAGAGGTCAACCAATGATATTTTATTGTCTGGTTATCATACATGATTCACTTTTTGTCACATGCCAAAATTTTACCAGGAATGAAGCTTTATTATGGTACGGCAGCAATGACAAGCAGATGTTCAACCATTGCAGCTTGTTTTCTTCAGACAGGACATGAGGAGCCCACTTACTTAGTTTCCATGTCATCCTAACGATATGAAAATGCGATCAAATGGTTTTGTCAGATACTCCAAACCTGTGTGCAAACTCCTGGCAGTTTGATGAGGGTTATGCTTGATTCTTCCTCCAGGTGGACTGTCAAGGATGCATGGATGACCAACACAAAGCTCATCTTCAAGGCTTTTATCTCCAGAAGACAAATTGCTGAGCCACTTTTGAGAAATCCATTCACTCATTAATGTCTCTACAAACATGGATTACATTCTTTAAGCATCCTCTTCAGCTTCATTTCTTAATTTGTACTTGTAAAGTAAAACAGCCCTCAAAGTCTCCTTTTCCAACAACATGTTTTCAAAGGCTGTGCTTCTTACGAAACCCATAGCAAAACGTGTGATGCACTGAACATCTCTCTGCTGAATAAGGTCTGAAAGGAATGTAAACATATGATGTCATCAGAATCAATTTTACCATATTAATGCACCAAAGTAATTGTTCTCAAATGAATTTTCTTGGTTATCTGGTAGTATGCCAAATTATTTGTGGCCATAAATATCAATTAAAATTAAAATAAATATTTAAATCTTTCACATCTTCAAACTACTTCTCATTGCATCTACTTGACTCCAAGTATTTACAAAAGCATGGATCAACATCTATGCAATCAAACGATCAAATTTTTTACAAATATGCCTTGCATCAGGAATTTTAACCAAAGTATTATACCGAGTAAGGATATAACCATTGTAACACATCTGCAAACACAATGCATCATTCTCATCTTGTAAATGAATTTAATAGTTGGTTACAGCTACAGGAGATACAATAATCAAAGTGTCAACTTAATAATTTCCATGCATAGCCATCAACTCAGATAAACAAAATTTGATGATTTCATTACTGCACATTATACTCGCACCAAGCAGAAACATAAAATTATAAATGACTTAAATTTTCAAAATTGTTTCACCAAATGCAATATAAATTGCATAAGAAACTTCTAAAATATGTATGTTTAACATTTACAAAGAGACAAAAAAATTAAATAAAATAAGAATAGAAATAAGTGTGGATCTAGCCAAGATGGATTTTCGGTCCTGTTGTGACGAGCATCCAGTCAATAATACTGGTCACTTGCAGAAGTTGTAACTCTTGGCCTACCTTTGAAAGCACTTCGAAAGGCTGAACCAGTAGTTAGAAATTGGTTCCACAGCCAGCTCACCATGGAATGGTTAACACTTAGCCAACTTGCAACATTTTACTATCGCTGATTTGATTCTAATTAGCCTATGGCCCTATAATGTAATTCTGCTAGCACACTTTGTATACCTTGAATTTGTTCAATACACCATGTTCATTGAAAAGCTATACACTCCTAAGCTTGTATTAAGATGCATCATATATACACAAAGCGATTCATGTGCCACTCTTTTGCATAATGCTACTTGATGCAGTTTGCTTAAAATTTGTAACATATTCAAATTCCAAACTACTTTTAGTGATTTATAGCAATTTTTAAATTTGTTGTTTAATTTTTGGAAGCCACTGCATACAGTAAGGCTACTACAGTTGTAAGATAAAATTCATTTATTTCAAGTTACTCTGAAATAAATTGTGCACAAGACAAGAAATTTGAAATAGAAAGCATCTTCAGGTGCATAAAGAGCACTTATTTCAGCTGTAAAGAAAGACATATTCTCTGCTTGAATACAGCAATTCTGTAAAGCAGTTAGTCATAAAATATCCAAACATTATTTTCTATGAGGAAAGTCACATTTTTAAAAATCTATAAATTAATAAATTTATTTTATTACAATCTGTGACAGTAATATATATCACTCAAAGTTTTCATGATTCCTTAGACCAGCGGTTGTCAACCTTTTGACTAATAGTACATATTATCTAAACAAAAATTGAAAAACTTTAGTACCGCCACTACATTTTACAATTGATTATTTTTCAGTTTCTCAATAGAAATAATAATAAAAAAAATATTTTGCCATTTGTACAACCTATTGGCTATATTAAATGTGCACACATATAAAAATATTAAATTAATAATTAGTTACCATTTTAATTATCAAATAATACCTTAATTCTAAAATTTAGTGTGAAATTTGAGAATGCTTAGGAAGGACCTGAGGAAAGTATAAGAATGAAAGTGGGAGTTAAAAAAAAATCATATTATTTGTTGTATGACCATATCTTATTTTTCAAGCAACAAACAGAAAATAATGAATAATAGAGCGGATCTTATAAATGCAAGTTAGCTTCACAGTTCAGAAATAGTTTCAACATATGAGGCATCTTATGAAGCCTGATTACCATTTTTAAAGAATCTCTTTTATAATCACTTTCTTCACAGCATAAGAATTCAGATAAATTCTGACATTAAATTTTACACAATTTGCAACAAGATATGTGGTACAATCGATTAAATATTTTTGCCTTTTTAAAAGCAGTATTATTTTTTAAAAAATCTTTTCAACTTTAGGAATGTGAATAAATATATATGGGGTAACCCAAAAGTAAAAATTCAATAATTTAACAGAAAAAGTAAAAATTCAATAATTTGAAAAGTATAGACAATTACAAAAATGTCCAGAAAAGCATGGGAATTCTTTTTAAATTGTGAAAATTTTCACTGCCCAGATACTGCATTTCTCAATCACAGGTGTGCTTCAGTTGCATTAGAAAATTGCATACACCAAAATTTAACCATATAGTCTCACAGGTATGATCCCACTGTACAATTCCATTTCCAGTTTTGATGTCGTACACTCTGCAGGATGGATCTTAGACTTTCAACTTGTCAATATTTCCTTATGCCAATTGTACAATTCCATTTCCAGTTTTGATGTTGTACACTCTGCAGGATGGATCTTAGACTTGTCAATATTTCCTTATGCCACAGAGAACTTAAAATGATCCAATCTTTTCCAGCATTGGAACTTGGGCCTCATGACATGGAAGCCACCATCACTTACTCTTATACTGTTTAGGATGGCTATAAGTTTATACATTGATGTAGCACAGTTCATAACACAGCTAGGAGAAGAAATGTTCATCACAAGAATGGTTGTTCAACATGGAATGACACTCTGTGTAGTATAAAAGAGGGTTGAACTGTTATTTCTATAACATGACGACAAATGACCTTATATGTGACTTGGAGTAAAATTAAACTATTCTGGCAATACTATTTTTCATTAATAAAAAAGAAAAAAGGCTTCTGTCTTTCTGCGCATTTCTATAACAACATCTCGCAACTGTCTATACATTTTAAATCATTAAATCTTTACTAAATTTTTGCTAATTTTTACTATTTCTGCTACTTTTGGATCATCGTTACTTTTGCTTATGTTAATAAAATAAAGTAAAACATACTTTATTTTAGTAAAAGCTTTTTTCAGTTATAGAGAAAGAAAACAATTATTTAATTTTCCCAAACAATGATATTTATTATAGTTTTCTGTACGTTAAGCTTAGTGACAAAATTCTGTTATCTTTTAAAGAGGCTCATTTGCGTCAGTCTTAGTTTCCATGTAGTTAACGTAACTAAATTAATGTAAAATGTAAAAATTCTTTTCGCATACACAAAAGATTAAGAAATTATATTTAAGAGGACCAGTTTATTTACATATTTATTAACACAAATTATTATCATAGTAAAAAAATTATGCAAGGAATATGAATACATTTTTTGCTGGTTTCATTAAAACTTACATTCAACTTTTTTGCCCTTTTGGGTGTCAATTCTAACCACATCAGATGGAATTTTTACCATGAACTTTTTATTACAATATGAGCCAATCAAACTGAGATTGAACAATACTTTCCCCTCCACTAATAAAGCCGTAAAACTCTTTTCAGGTAAAGATCCATGATCTTGAAGTTTTTTTAATTCTCAATTTTTACATAATAATAAATGTTACTCCCCTCTGCCACACATAAACATAAAAAGAAGAAGGGGGAATCAAAAGAAAAAAAAAAAAAAACAGAGAGAAAGTTCAGTTAAAATGAAAAATGAAAATGCTTACCTGAGCCATCTTATTTACTGGCAGGGTGTCAACATTATGTATAAAATTCAGAAGTTTATTTTCAGACATACTAAAAAATTCCAGCTGTTTCAGAGTATTACAAAAATTTTCAGCTGCCTGAATTTCTTTGCGAAAATTTTCCAGTTGGTTGCTTTGTTTGGGAATTGCTGACTTCAAGCATTTTTCAATTACTAAAGAGCAAAAATCATCACCAATTGCCATTCCAAAATCATTCATGGTTGAAGAAGAATGTGTATTTTCTACTGCAGTATTTGGTAAATGAAAGAATTCTTCATAAAGAAAATTAAAAATACAACTTAGCGCTTCAAATACTTTTACTGGAGTTGGACTTTGTACACTGATAATATTGATTGTTAAAACAGATGACATTTCTGATTTTTCAATTTTAATAGTGTTCAGTAGCACAGTATCACAAATCATGTTTAAAAATAGTTTTCCAAACTGCTTCAACAGAGGCAAAAGATTATTGAGCAACTTCAAAGCTCTAAACAATTCTTTATCTTCATGTGCATTTTTATGTATTGTAAACACAACTTTTCTATCATTACCTTCTTCAAACCAGCTAATTACAAGTTTTTGCTGCCAAACTTTTCCCAAATGGTATATTAGATTTTCTCTAGCCAGTATAAACTCAGTTCTGAGAGAATGTAAAACAGCTATATCTGCTCGATTTTCTAAATCTACAGAATTATACACATTTTCAAAGTCTATTAGATATTGAGCAGCATTAACATATGAAGTTTGCAACAATGCGCTTTTTTCTTTATCTAAATACTGATACAATAAAATAAGGTTTGATGCTATGATTTCCAGTTTTTTTGCCCTCTTTAGGTCTTCTACAACATCATGAAATTCTGTAACAGAACTGACCATCTGTGGTTTGAGCTAAAATGGCAAAAAATGCAATGAATTACATTGATCTAAATGGCAAAGAATGCAATGAATGACAATAACTGCATATTAAAATACATATAAAATACAAATAATAAACATTCTGTCTAAAAGAGGATCACTGCCCTTATTTTTGTAAATTAATGCAAATGAAGATATACTTACAGAAGTGAGCATTCAGCAAGTTTTAATCCCAATACATTTGTACAAGATAAATGTCTAAAATTATATTCTCAGTTTTTTATATAGTTTTCCTTTGATTTCAATGAATTAAGCACGACAATCCATTAAACATAAGATTTAAAAAAAAATTAGAGAGGGGGGAAAAAACATCTGCCACAACTTCCAAGGGATTCCAGATTCCAGAATGGTATGCTTCAAGTCATTGCTGTTTTTATAATGTGAACAACATAAATACTGCTTCATTTTTTTTTTTTTTTTTTTGGCAAAAGGAAGTCACCTGAAGCTAGGTCTAGTGAATGCAGTGGATGGAGAAAAATTGAACTAGGCATTGCTGAATAGCAGTTTGGGAAAGCTCAGCTTTATGCACTGAAGTGTTGAAAACTAATACTTTTCTGCTAATTTGTCAGTGCTATGCTTTTATTGCTTTATAGATTTAGGTTAACAGATTAGAATAAGACACACATGTTAAATTTAAAATTAGGCAAAAAAGTAAGGTTTTAATTTGGTTAAGTTACAATTTCGTGCATGATCCAACACACATTCATCTTCTCAAGATGCAAAAAATCTGTTTGTGGACACCTATTATTTGCAATATCATGCAGCATATAATCAGTAAGCAATGTTTTATTCAAAAAGTAATTTTAATTACATTTTCTATTTACCTGCTCCACAATAGTATTAGATTGTGGTTGATCAGGGGTGCTCTTCAAATTTTTAATGTCAAAATCTGCTCATATTTCCTTGAAAACTGAATTGATTGTTATAAATTGTGGGTTGTTATCAATAAATTTAGTCTAAATCCACATTTTAGGATAAATTTCTTTAGAAAGAGTCTGTGTTGTCATTTGGAAACATTGAAACAAAAACAATGCAGACGAAAACATCAAAAAGAAAACAATGCAAAAGGAAATCATCATCATACAAAACATTATGAGAAAAACTAAAGCAAGGTAAAAACATCACAGTTTTAAGATATTGAGGTAGAAAATAAAGGCGGAGTTCAAAAACACTGCATTTTCAAACATTGGCACGTAAATTATAGAACTAAAAATAAAGCAACTACAAATCTTCGCATAATGAGAACATTGCAGACATGTTTTTAAATTTTAAACATTTAAAATATATGTTCTTACAATAATTTATGAGTAAATAAAGAAAAAAGGAATTTTCGTATTCTCCCAATGGGCGATCTACCTTAACTGTGTAGTTACTTTATGTTATGTTTAGCATTTAAATTTTACAAAATATTTATCTCTTGCTGCATTTTATGCTGTGTATAAGAAAACTTTCAATGTGCAAATAAAAGGGTGAATTTTTTTTTAAAACTAAATTAGTTGGTTTAAATATCTTAATGAATTGCTCAGTATTAATATAACTAAAAGTGAACTAAATGTTATGGATACAGATTATAGCAAGAATTCCATGCATACAGTAAATGAAACAGATAAGAGGTAAGGCAAAATACACCCAATTTTGTACTGCTACATTTAATTGTTTCAAAACCTATTTGCAAACAATTTGTTGTAAGCAGAGTATTAAAAAAGAGAGATAATGCACTTAGGAGAGATTTAAACACTATTGTCGCTTAAGATAACTTTTATTTCATTTGCTTCTTATTTCAACTCTTTGTAATGTAAATATGAAAAAAAAAAAAAAAAAAAATTCTATTTGAGAGTAAATTGATAACAAAGATTCGAAAACAGTATTTAAAAACTCTTTGCAAATTCAATGGAAAAATTACATGTGAAATAAACAATAAGCATAAACAATAGTACAAAACTGATTAATTAACTAATGAAATTCGGTAGATTGCCAGTTTGGATAATACTGAAATTTTTTTAGCTTTGCATTTCAGAATTTTGAATTAACTAATAAATGTTTACTGAAAAAACACGAAGGAAACTTAAGCATTCAGATCTGAAAATGTGCAGAAAAGAAAGGTACGTATAGCAATTAATAGAACTTTAGACTTATATAATTAACTATTAAAAGTCATTTTCTTTGTATTTACAAGACCTTTCATCTAGTTGCTAAAGGGGAATTAGATTTGCTTGATTTTACATAAAATTACAGTTGTTAACCTGCTAGTAAATCCCAATTTTCCTATGATTCACAATATCATACAGTTGTACATTCTAATCTCTTATATATCTTTTATTGAAAGAGCATTGTTTTAGAAAGATAAGAAATAAGCACTAAACTGCATGTTAAAGATTAAATTTTAGCATTTAATCAGATTAATAATTTTCCTCATCATTAATGTAATCTTTTAGGAAAGAAATATAAGGTATTCTACACTTTTGAAAACTTATTTATTGCAGTACTTTTAGTATTATTCTACAATGTTTAGTTACTTAAAACAGCAATAATAATAAAATTATTGTTTTAAACTAATTTTAATACTTAATCAGATAATTTTAAGTTTATTTCAGGAGAAATAAACACAAGATAGTCTACACATCCTACATAAAATATGCAAATATCATGCATTATTTTCTAAAGGAAAGTTAAACATATAATAGTAAATAAATCATTTACCACAAATTTGGATTACTTCCTTATTATAATGGCCCCCAAGAATAAATTGCTATCAACCAAGATATCTAGTCAAAATCTCGCCATATGTTCTTATACCTTGCTGTATGTTACACTTCAGTTAATTCCTGATTAAATTTTGGGGTCACTATAGTAAAAAAGTACTAATTTGCCATATTAAATTTTGTAGGTCTAACATAAAAACGGGTACTTACGTACTATCGCAACCATCTTAGTAGAAGCACCCAAACTTTCAGAAAGTGCCAAACTGAGGCAACCATGTGCATAACTATTCTTCCAGCAACCAATGCTCATGACAATTGTTTCAGTCATTCAGTGCCGCTATTTTCATATACGTTCTGTTTTGTTGCATTCCAAGTTCCAATACACAAATCGTGATATTTTTTGTTTTAAACTAGTTTTAAAATATGAGCTTGTTGAATTCACTAGCAATGCAGGAAACTGAGGTAAAATTTCAGCAGTAATACAGAATTTTGCAGAAAATTTTTTAAAGGGAACAAGTGGTACTTTTCCGTTTAGCCGGCACAAATCTTGACAAGCAGACTTTATTGGAGACAACATACAGTATTCACATAAAAAATGTTTTACGAATTTTTTATTTTGAAGGTATAAACATTTTAATATCGATTAAAATTTTGTAAAAAGCCAATAAATAAAGACAATAAGTTTATAAAAAGACATTAATTTAAGAATTTACTATGCTTTCATGGTTTAGCATCCTTATTCGCTGGTTCATATCACGTGACCCCAAGTGATCTCATCTCTAAACTACACTACAAAAATATAATTCTCTTAGTAATTATCTACATTAATTTCAAGTTAAATCTTAATTTTGGAGTGCAAGAATTATTTCAATTCATACAAACAGCTTACTCAGAAATTATGTAAAACAATAGTGGTTTACTTCGCTAGTGCATTCTTATTAGAATTGATGAATTTAACCCTTGACTTTTCTATATTTTCACCTTCGGGTGAGCGGTGTGATTGCATCCTAATCAACTTAATTACCGTGAATGGCCTTAGGGCATAAAATGAACTATCTGGTAAAAATTCTATGTAATTGTATGCCAGTATTGAAAGAAATAATCAATTTGATAAGAAATTGCTGCGATTTGTTTTGAAAATGAGGCGTAAAAGGTTACTAGCGAGGATATTCTGTTAGGCATCAGTAGTACCATTATTGGCGTCTTTATCACCTGCACCGGCAAAACGGAAAAGTACCCAACAAGGAAATGCATTTCCGAGATAGCCGCTGTTGTCGAAGATTGCACAAAGCCAAATCTCCACATTTCTCTGATTTTTTAAGTGAAAACAGATCACTGTGTATTTCAGGATAAGAATAATGACCAAAAAAAAAAAAAAAAAAAGAAAAACTACAGAGAGATTCGAAGAAGAATATAAATATTTTATTTTTTTAATGTATGACATAATCTTTATTTATTAATTCATATTTGTATTTTAAGTTGCTAAAGTATATTTCCTTTCCCTATGTTGATATTGTTTACCAAACTTACAATAAATATCAATAGTTTGGGAATCTTTCTATAAAAGAAAGCACGAAAACCAACAACTTACACATGCTAAGTAAATTTTACATTTTCATCTGTAAAAGATCACCATGTTGCACCAAGATTGTTGTGATAGTATGTAAGTACCTTAAAACGTAATGAAATAATAATAGGAAGCAATTTTATGATCTAAGTGGTGAAACTTTTTCCCTAAGTATGATCCCAGTGAAAATATTATCTTACTGAAGTGGCACACACCAAGGAGCTAAAAATTACAAAAACATACATTTTAAAAAAGAAAATTTATTTAACATTTAATGATATCACTTACATTTATAACTAAAATACTGTAAAATTTAGCTACATAAAAATAGTGCATAAGATATGTAAGAACAAAAAACGCCGTCCCATTAGCATGCCTACCACAGCCTTGAGCCTAGATTTAAATTTTGAATTACAGAGATGTCATGGGTGCCTCACTGAGAAGTTGGTGCTAGAGAAGAAAGGAAGGAGACACTCAGATTTATCCCAGGAAGAGGGGGAGGTTTGCATTGAGAATTGGGACAGATCTGGGCAATACTATCATCTGTAAGGTGTCCAAGGCTCTGGTAAACTACAAATACTCACTGCCCCTGCATCACAATGAATTCATTAACCTGATCAAGAAGTCCTCTAGGTCAAAAGGACTGAAAACAAAAAATACACATTATCACTGGAAAATTTCAGCATCTTCTTAATAATTATTTTTAATTCAAACAAATGGGGGGGGTCACACAGGGTCATAACTTCTTTGTAACTGCTGAAATTTTCCATTAATAATGTTTACTTTCACTGTAATATTCAATAGTATTTATAAAAGCTTTCATTGCTTAGTCTTGTTAATATACTGGGCTTAATTTTTTTTTAAATTCTTCCTTCATATGGCTAGGACGAAACCTTACAGAGTATATAAATAGCAAATAATCATATATTCCATATTATTTAAAAGAAAACAGGATACTTTAGTATTATCTGCCCAGCACTCTTGCAAAGTTGCCAGCCCCTAGTGACTATTTTTTTGTCAACCTAACATGTAAAAAACAGCATCCATTTAAAAAAAATTAAAAGCGTGCTGAAAATTACATAAAACAGCAATGAAATAACGAAGTTAAAATACAAGAAACATCCATAATGAAACAGTAAAAATTACATAATAGAAACATCCGTAATAAAACACTTATAATTTTATAATGCAATAACAAATTCACTAAATTAAAGGTGCCACAAATATCCACAATAAAACACTTAACTTTCTATTTTCTTGGTCCATGTGCATAATAAGCTGTTTTTAAATACATGTGCATAATAAGCTGTTTTTAAAAAGACATTAGAGAATTGCAGAATTCTTAGCATTGATAGAGCAAACTGGGATTGCTCTCAAATATATACTGATTTTGTTTTAACTTAAAGGGGGGGGGTAAGAGAATTGCTTTTATTCAGAAAAAACAATTTTTTTGACATTCTTTTTCCACAGCCCACTTCTCACAGATACCTGTATCAATCCACAGCTGTATTTGGAGATATATTGAGACAATAAGAACTGCAAAAATGGCAAAACTTAACAGATATATTTTCTTTAGAAAAGCAATAAAGCAAAGCTATCGTAAACAACATTCAGGTAAACCAATTTCTTACTCCCATTCAGATACTTTGCTGGCAATCTTTAGCAATATACTATCATAAAATTCAATAATTGGTTTCATGGAAATTCCAAAATGGCCACCATTATGTACTGGCACAATATGCATGCACTTATTCAAGGGTTGCGAGATAAAATACGAGTCCATGATATTCTGGGCTGCCCACCCCTACTTTGGCAATATATTACACCACCTGTTCATTCTTCTCACCATTGGGCAGATAGCATGAAAGTACTGAAAACAATCAAGAATTAGTAAACATTAATTTGGAAAATAATTATCAAAACAAAGGCTGCAGAAGGTAAATATCAAAAGGAATATTAATTTCAGTTGTTTCATAATATTTCAATATAATAAAATTATGTAAAGTACATCAATTTTTGAGAACAAAAATAAATATTACCTCTTTTTCAATATGGTTGTGTAATGCTTCATATCGACTACTAATTTTATCCAAATTTTTGATTATATCATCAAGCTTGAGATACTGTGGGATAAAGTCCTTGTACTGATTTTCCAAACTATGTTGAACTTCTTGTTTAATAGTTTCAAGTTTTGTCTTTAAATCATTAATCTTTAATTCTATGGTTTCTCTATTTAATTTTCCTGCAAGGAGAATTTTAAAAAATATTGCAGAATAATGAAACCAGGTACTATTTTCTGATTATTTGTATACTCAGGCAAAGTTGGCAACTCATTGACAACTTTGTAAACTGTTACAAAACTCTTATTTTGCAATCTTTATAGCTGATTGGTGCTGTTTTTATAGCTCCCAACCTCGATATATGAAAACCAGCAGGTTTTTGAACTGCACGGTGATGTCATTTTGAAAGACCTCCACAGTAAATTAAATTCACTTTATAATGCATTAATCATGCTATTAAGCTATTGGTACTTTTCCATTTCACCGGCGCAAGCGAATAAGTCTCCAAAAATGATACAACCCATACAAATGGAATATCCCCGCTGGATACAAATGGAATATCCCGCTATCTTTTACTGCCACATTTTCAAAACAAGTTGTGGCCATTTCTTATCAGTCACGTCTTTTTCCTAATATGTCAAAAATAGATGAAAAAATCAACAAAAATTTGGGATTTGCCCAGAACAGAAGAAGAATCTGTTAGATTCTTTCAAGTAAAAGGTGTTTTGCCTGAAATTTCTACTTGTGATAATAATAATAAACTGAAATTGTATTTTGGAGACAAAATTCAATGGTGCTGCAACCTTTCAACTTGTTGCAGTAAAAGAAGTATCTGGGAAGACACATCGTTTGAGTCATCAAAACTGAGTTCCTTGAAGTGTGCGAGGTCTATTTATGGTTGGAGCAAAGAATTAATTTCAGTTAAATAGTGTGAAAAGCAGTTAGGGTATCTAAAGTTAGGATAAAAACCGATAATCCGGAATTGCCGAAGTCTTGACGAGTCCAGATTAAAGACTTTTGACTGTATTAAAAGCGATTAAGAAAAATATTGAAAAAGGAACTGTAATATATTCCGATTTGTGGAAATCATACTGCACTGGAAAACTGGAAGAGAAAAGTTTCAAACATTTCAAAGTAAATACAATTTTGTCGATCTGGAAGCTAGAGCGCACACACAAAAAAATAGAAAGACTGAGGGGTAGCACCAAATGGCGATATGGAACACAGAGGAAGGACATGTCATCATCTGGAATGTTATCTCACAGAATTTACGTAAAGAAGGGAAGCAAAAGACCCATTTGAAAAAATGCTAAACAGTATTAAAATTTTTATGCCTCCAAAGTAAAAAATTCTTAAAACTAACATTTGTTAACAAATTGTACGGGTATACTGTGTGCTGTCGTCAATAAAGCTTGCTTGGGAAGACCTGCAGCATTATTAATATTTTTTTATGTGTATACTGTGTGTTCTCACCAATAAAGTCTGCTTGGCGAGATTTACGTTGAAATATAATTGGAAAAGTACCACCTATTTCTAAAATGATTCTGATGTAAAGTATATTAATATTTAATAGGATCTCTTAAATTTTATGTTCTTTGACTAGTTTCATTTTGTAATCTTCTTATGCTTTTATACAGAGTGTTTTAAAAATATCTGGCAAAAATACAAAGGCAGGAAGAAGGGACAGAAATAAGCAGATTTTGAAATGGAATGTGAATCTAAAAATCATCCTGTGAGGATTTTGATAGTTATGCATCGCTACACAAATACGGAGCTAGTCAATGTGTATTTATCTATGGTGCATATACATTTTATCTGTTCAGTCATAGGCTTCAGTAAATATAAAGCTAGTAATAAAAATGTACTAAAACCTGTGTGTTGTAGGAATATGCACAGGTTGGCTATTTAGCATGTATACTTGAACATACGCAAAAAAACGCAACAATTCTTACAAACCTTGAACTGTGATACAGACAATCAGAAAATATTTATAACTATTAAAGATACTGTCATTGAAATAAATATCTTTTAAATCAATAAGTACACATTATCTAGAATTGATCAAAGTAATAATATCATACATACTCAAAGAGACTAATAAAACTTCTATGTTTTTAACATTTATTATGTTTTCCAACAGCCAAGTACGTGCACATGAATATTTTTTACACATTTCCTTACATGAAAGCAGAGGCGTAGCTAAGGTTTTCAGCCCCCGGGGTGTCCTAAAGATTCTGTGCCCCTTTCTGTGTTCCAAGAATGGAACCCCCTGAATGCTGCGCCCAGGGACAGATGCCCCCTCCTGCTCCACCCTAACTACGCCACTGCATGAAAGTCCTTATTTAACTTTTCGAAGTATAATTTATGGCACATCCTTGTTTCGGAAAGTAAAATGTAGAAATAGTAGTCTTCCAGAAATCAATAAAATAACACTATTTTTAATAATTTTCATACATACACTCAAATTATAAACTTAATTCCTTTAAATATATGCAACACCATCCTATAATAAACACGTCCAACAATTAAAACATCTTCCCTAATAAGAATTTTTTTTAGCTTATATATAAAAAAAAGTTTCCTAGAGAAAAAGAAGAATGCATTCAGAAGTTACTACTGATTTTTTTAGCTTATATATAAAAAAAAGTTTCCTAGAGAAAAAGAAGAATGCATTCAGAAGTTACTACTGATTTTTTTAGCTTATATATAAAAAAAAGTTTCCTAGAGAAAAAGAAGAATGCATTCAGAAGTTAATACTGATTTCAAAGCCTTACTTATTATTAAAATAAAATGCTTCGATATTAAAAAAATTTTCATATATGCTACTGATGGGCTCTCACTAAAATTACAATTCATCTAAAAAAAAAGATGGGCGAGCTTGACAGCTGAGCAGAGTTATCGCAGACTTGCACTCTAGTGACTTGTTTCATGAGTTTGATACCAAAGAAAATCAGAAAAACATTTCTGGACTTGCACACATTTTACTTTTTATCTAATTCTGCTATTAAACCCATAACAGCGTTCTGCCCTTTCTTTCATACTTCATCTAGTTATTTCAATTTTTATTTTGAGGACGTGGAGTTCATTGTAATTATACTACAAAGACACTCCGTAAACAAAACACCTTGGTCCATGGTCCAAAGATATGCTCTGATGCAATCATATACAGTATACAGAAACTGAGCTTCTTTATTTTTTATCATCTTTCACATAGTAGGTGAAAATGTTACAGTGCTTTAAATACCAAAGAAAGATGCATCATAAACTATGGAGTACAGTGTATTTTGTTTTATTTTATTTAGCAATACACCATGCCGTGTACAATAAGCATTATTATTACCTTATTTAATGTTGGTAATAACAGAAAATAATTTATCAATTAAACTATATTTATGTCTTCTAAATAAATATTCTGTTTCAAATAGCATTTACTATTATTTACCGTACACACTTCAAATGAAATAAAAAAACAAATTTTTGAATTAAAAATGTAGTTTAAAATATTCATAATAATGAGATTTTGGTAATTTCTGATTATAACACTCCCAATGAAAAGCTACGGAAAGGTACTGATGAGGCAACGCATAATACAGTCAAAAGTCTTTCATCCGGACTCGTCGGGACTTCGGCGATTCCGGATTATCGATTTTTCCGGATTATAGATCATCAGTTTAAATCTGGTAAGATGGCATGCAGAAATTATAAAATTAAAAATATGAAACCGTAATTTATAAAATAATGAGCAATTATGATCTAAAGGGTATCAAAATTTACAAAAAAGAAGCCTAATATTTATTTGTTTACTTTATTAAACATTTCTTTCAACGCGCGGATGCGTAAAGCATACCTTACGCATAGCCGAAATTAGAAAATTGCAACCAGAAAACTATTTGATTTGTATTCGTGATATTTATAATGATAAGGAATTTGATTTAAATCATATCAAAGACGGAGTACATCGAAATTAAATACTACATTTAGTAAGGAATTATAAGCCGAATAAAATAAAAACATCTGCCCTGAAGATAACGATAGTGTTGACAGATCAACTTCCAGTTCATTGCGCGCCGCCACATTCCCCTTCCCCCCCCACGCAGAGCAGCGTGAAATTGATAAACAGATTTCGGAACGGTTAGATAAACAAAGAATATGCCTTTATCCATTTTTTGTAGCAATTCGTTTTTTGTTTGATGGACATCGAAACATACATTTGTTTTCTAGATCCTTTGGGAGCTCCAGCATCGGAAATTCTATTTGACATAATCGAAAGTTCAAGCTTACTTTTAGAAAATTGCTCTTACAGTCTGCAAAAAATAATAAGCCGAATCGAATTCGAAGATTAAAGAACAACGCAATCATCAACATTAACTGAAATAGATAATTTTAGCTTATATCGTCTGTTATATATTAAACGCGCACGCGAAAACGTATTCTGCACTTGCGCAGACGCATATGCGCAGTCGTAAATGTCTTGCGCGCACGAGTAAAACGCCTATGCGCAGAAAGATTTTAGCTTTGAGGTCCGGATTATAGATCATTCCGGATTATGGGTGTCCGAATTAACGACTTTTGACTGTATTACCAAAAAGTATTTATGTGGCAATCCATGATATCGGCAAAACAATATTGCTACCAAATGTCCAGCTGAGGTAAGATAGCTTTCCCACAACGTGGGTCTAGGGTTGCCAGAGAATGGCAAGGAAAGACCGAGTTACCATATTCGGCACGAAATCACCCATTTAGCAACAAAAATGGTTATATGCAGTAGACTGATGGAGAGGCTTCTGGAATGAATTCTTACCAGTTTGTCCCAGAATGTTCTCAAAGGCAGCTCCAAAAAACTACATAAACCCTGACTGTACACGGAGTGGCAATATACCATAGTGTATCGTCAAGTGCGTTCAGCTCCGACAGTGATCAACCGAGTTGGGAGCTGTACTCTAGTGCTTTGTTGTGAAGCCATCTTCACTGTTATAGCCTGAGGCTGTGTTGCTGATTGTTTCAGTGCGCTTGGCGTAGTTTTTTGACGACTGTAAACATATTTTTGGAGCTGCCCCGAGTAATACTTCCTAATAGATTGTGTTCTCATTCACCATTAAGTGTTGTTGTTAATCACTCCAAATCCACAAACCCATACAGAAATGCAACAACCGGTGTCAGAAGTGGGAGTTGCAAGTGAATA